GGCCAAGACCCACGCACACAAACACATTCTAATACGCACATCTACAAACGCATACAAGCACACTCATTTAAATACATATACTCACTTGAACACATACAAACATACACCCAGACACATGCAGACAAATGCAGGCACGCACACATACTGACAAGCATACGTAAAGGTAGTTGTGAATTCTGTCTCGTGTGTCTCACAGAGGCTACGGCTTCTAGATAAATCTAGCCAAAGGGAGGAAGGTCTAAGAAAACAAGGTATCGAAGACATTCAGTGTGTTTGTACGTATGTAAATGCGTATTTATAGACATTAACACAATTTTTAGATGAACGTCAGCCAGTTGCCACGGCAATAAAGCCAAGGCATCGCCGCTTATCTGACGTTTGTTTTTCGACGCCTGAGACGTGACGCGTCGGTGTTGTTGCCGTAAACAGAAGCGTCCTATAGGCGAGCGAGGGAGAGAGAGGAGAGAGCGAGATAAGAGAGAATCAGGGAGAGGGAGGGAAAGAGGGAGGGAGGGGAGAGCGAGAGACACCGAGAGAATCAAGGATAGAGAGAGTGAGTGTCTCTGTGCGAGGGAAGGAAAAATAGTCAAGGAGAAAGTCGGTGCGAGGGATAAAAATTCAAGGGGAGGGATAGAGAGATAAGTGGAAAAAAAATTGTGATCGGGAGAGGGAGCAATGAAAATATATATGTATAGGTTAGCATATCAGGGAGAGGGGAAATAAAGAGAGACAGGAAGAGAAAGTGAGCAAGAGAAACAGAGAAAAAAAATCTTAGCTCTCTCAGTACACAGCACAAAAAACAGGGAGCCTTTTCAACGCATGCATTTTATCTGCAGATTTGCATCGATTGATGTCGCAGGCCCGGGCATGCCGTGATGAAGCAGTAAATGCGAAAAGACCTTCGGCATATTCGTGTGTTTTCTTGTACTTCCCTTCTTTGTACTACTTGCAACTTGTTCGCCATAAATTTAACACAATCGATTGATGCCAAACATCACCGACGCGTAAGTGGGAGAAGGTGTGGAGGGATGCAAAGGCAGAGGGAGGGAGGGAGTGAAGGAGAGAGAGAGAGGAGGATTAGAGGGAAAGCGACAAAGAGAAAGAGAAAAGGGGGGGGGAGGCGAAAGAGAAGACAGAGGAAAGGGAAATAGGAAAAGAGACGGGGGAGTGGGGGCAAAAAAGGAACGAAAGAGAGATGAAAGGAGGATAGAAAGCGAGAGTGGCAGGGGGAGAGGAGAGAGATAAGAGATTTTATCTTCTTATCAGCCGCCGCCCCAAGTAGACAATGGTACACCTGCACCAGTGATTCCTTTACACATTGGAGGACCTCCTTTAATATTTTTCTTACTCCAAGGAACCCCTGTTTTTGGTATATATGAATTATTTCTAACGAAATGTGTGCAAAGAAGATGAGAGAACAGCTGGGCCGGGGCTCGTGACACGCCTGCTCCTCGCACGGGGCTGCGTCCCTCCTCCCCTATCCTTGTGCCATCGACTCGCGGAGTACGAATGATAGCGTATCCTGCCCCTGTTTGACGTATAACTCTATGCATAGTATTACTTTTTTTTATCTATCTACCATATTATCATCTAGTTCAGGAAAGCTACAGCATCTCTGGACACACGCATACATGCATATGCACACATATAGGTAGACGCACTCATACACATACATGCATGCATACACATACGCGTTCATATACACGTACAGGTACACATACACGCACACACGTACACGTACACGCACATGCAAGCACACTCGCACATATATGTACATGACCATATACTCGTACATAGATATGTACACACAAATATCCGCACACAAGCATAAACACACGCACACACTTACAAGCACACAATAAATACATGTACTCATAACACACATAGACACTCATGTATACATACATACATCACACACATGCACACTCATCTACGTGTACACACATACACGTATACATGAATGCATACTGTGTATACAGACCCACACCAGCATACACACACATACACTCACATGTGCACACATAAAAGCACACGCATATATACACGCACACATACACTCACTCGTGCCCATATAATGTACATACATACGTACTCTTGCGCACAAAAACAATTACACATACTCATAACACACAAGGACGCACATGCATGAATCACACACACACACACACATCTACGTGTATGCAGTGTATACACATACACATGCACGCACATGAATTCTTGGCCATGGTTCGAAGACATAAACAGGGCCTTGAAGTAGGAAAGAGAACTGGAAGAGGTCGAGATCTAAGCATATTTATACTGAGGGGATTGTGCTGCAAAGAGCCTGTCGCCCGAAAGGAGTAGAATTTGTTTGTGTTCTATGGCATCTTGATCAGTGTTTGGTTTCTTCCTTTCTATTGATTATCCCAATCGTTAGATTCTTTTCTCGGCCGATTGCCTTGACCTGAATCGGAGTTAAGGAAACAGGTGAAACGTGGCGGGGGACCCGTAGAGTTCGAGCGGCCTAATGCTACTAGAGGCTGGCATTCACACCTGAGCTAACCGCGACCAATGTACTAGATTTGCGAAGGGTCGGCACAGTGTCAGTGGTACCGTAAAGCATGGAGTTTGGAGTGGCAGAGGTGGCAGGTTGCGAGAGAGCCTTGCGCTCTGCCCATACGAACTAAAAGCTTGGCCACAAAGCAGGAGGCGAATGAAAGCGAAAGCAACGTTGAATCAAGAGGAAATAGAATGAGCAGTTTTATAAAGCGATTAAAGAACAGATTATAAAAAAGCCCAGTCAGCTGCTTATTTTTGAAGTTACGTCACTCTAAGTTCCAAGGGTCAGAGGTGGAGGAAACACGCAGGTGTCTTGAAAGAGTAAAAGGGAGAGAGAAAAAGAGAGATGGAGTGAGAATGGAAGAGAGTAACTAGGAGAATGAGAGAACGTAATTGGGAGAGTGAAAGAATGAAGAGAAAGTAATTGGGAGAGTAAAAAAATAATTGAGGATGAAGAGAGAAAGTACTTGGGAGAGTGAGAAGTAATTACGAGTGAAAGAGAGGGAAAGCAATTGAGAGAGAGTAAATAATTGAGAGACAGAGTGTGTGAGGGAGAGAGAGATAGCGAGAGTTAGAGAGAATGGGAGAGAAATTCAAGGAAAGAGAAACATAAACACAACAGCACGCGTAAGGTTTTTCATTAATATCTGTATTTCCATAACTATCTGTAGCGCTACCTTATCTCGGCTGACGACAAGGGGGGGGGGGGGGGACGGAGGCATGCAAAGGCAGACAGAGGTAGGGAGAGAGGGAGGGAAGGAGAAAGAATGAGAATGAGAGATAGGGGGGAAGAGGGGAGACATGGGGGCAAAGAAGAGAAAGAGGGAGAGGGATAGAGAGGCGAAAGAGAAAAGATGAGAGAAAGAGACGGAAAGACACAGAGAAATGGTTGCAGAAGAAGAGAGATAGTGTGAGAGAAAGCTAGAGTTGGGGAGGGAGAGGGGGAGAGAGAGAGAAATAGAGGTTAGGAAAGATAGCGAGAGACAGAGAGAAAGACGAAAGTGAGAGGAGAGTAAGAGAGAGTCAAACAAGAAACAGAAAGAGTAAAAGAAAAAGAAATATAGAAAAAGAGAGACTGTGACGTTTGTTTTCCGACAGTTGAGGTTTGACACATCGGTGTTGACCTAAACAGTAGCGTCCTTTGGGTGGTTCTTTCTTCTGTGTTGTCTGTGTATCTACACTACTGCCTTAACTCGGCTGAGATCAAGGGAGAGGGTACGGAAGGATGGATGCAAAGGCAGAGGGAGAAAGAGAGAGACAGAAGCGGATTGTAAAAGAGAGAGAGATGGCGGGGGAAGAAGGGAGAGAGAGAGATAGGGTAGGGGGAAAGAGAGAGTAAAAGAAAAAGAGGGAATTCGTGAGAGATAGGTTTTATCTCCTTATCAACCGCCGTCCCAGGCAGACAACAGGTACACCTTACACACACACTCATTCCCAACCTTGACACCTTGGAGGACCCCTTTTAATAATTTTTCTTATTCCAAGGGACCCCTTATTTGGTATATATACATATACATATATATATATATATATATATATATATATATATATATATACATATATGTATATATATATATGTGTGTGTGTGTGTGTGTGTGTTTTAAAGAAAAGTCCAAAGAAGATGAGAGAACAGCTGGGCCGGGGCTCGTGACACGCCTGCCCCTCGCACGGGGCTGCGTTCCCTCCTCCCCAAGCCCTGTGTCGCCGACTCGCGGAGTACGAATGAAGACCGCAACCCGCCAGGCAATAACACACGTTTCTTCCCTTTTCTCTCAATTCTGTACATATTACTTGTTCCTATTACTATTACAATGCACTGGCTGACACGCCCGAGTATCTTGGTGCCTGGGAAATGACGTTGTTGAATAAGAATTAAGATCACCGTTATTTTGGAAAAGCACATAATTATTTTACAGTTTATCGCGGATCCCCAAGTGAAGGTCGTTGGAACCCCGGTTGGGAATTACTGCCACACACACGCATACTATTGTAGACACAGAAATGCAACGAAATATAAATTCAGACAAAGACAAATAAAGAGACAGAAAACACACAAACACACATATATAGGCGCATAAATATAGATATAAATGCTTACATTCATAAACATAACCGTAGAAACAGAAACAAGTACATAAACGTAGGTTTGAATTCTGTCAAGAGTGAGTGATGCTTGAATTCTGACTGAGATTTTATGAACAAGAGAAAGTGAGAGAGTCAAAGAGAGAGTAAATAAAGGAGAGACAGAGAGAATAACTGAGTGAATGAGAGATAGACAGACAGGGAGAAACTGAGTGGGCGAGTGTGTAATTGAAACAGAGAGAGAGATGGCGGGGGATTGCGTGAGTGAGAGAGTAGTTAACTGAGCGATAAAGTATGGAGTAAGAGACTGAGTAATAGACTGCATAAGAGGCAGAGAGTAGCCGAGTGAGTGATTGAGTATGTCGTAAGGGCGAGTGCACGTACTGCCGGGTCTGAGCGAGGCTGTCTTTCCCGTTATCTGTGGAGCAAAGGTCGCCGATAAGAGGAGGCAGCGTTTGGCCCGGCGTCAGCGAGCATATTTCCAACCAGCAGCACCAACTGCCGCAAGGACACCGCCACCGCTCCAGCAACAACCGCAACCTACGCCCCAACCGCTACGATGGCTGCCTCGGACCCCAACGCCCGCCTCGTAAGTAGCCCTTGGCGTAGCTTTGGCGAGCGCCGGCAACTCAGCTCAGTGTATGTGGATTCTGAGGGAGGAGGGGGAAGGGGGAGGAAGGGGGAGAGGGGCACGGAAAGGGGGAATAAGCGAACATACCGAATGGAAAAGACACATAATAATCACACGTCGTGACAATAATCAGGATCATAACGATCGTTCAGGATTACATCTCTCCGCCGCGGTTGAATAGCGACGTGCGACAAGATTTTTTTTTCCAATATTAACTTGTCCAGCAGAGCTACAATGTAGTTCAGATTCTGTGACGTGCCTGGGATAGAATTCCACCTGCAAGGGGTTGTCTGTCTGGGCTGTGCAGGTGTTGGTTCGTTCCGGAGGTTCGGCCAGTGTCGGCGACGTAGAATTGTTCTTTATTTTCATTCTCTATCTCTCTTATAACTCTTTTCCTCTCTCTCTCTTTTATTGTCTCTCTCATTCTCTCTCACACAGTCTCTTGTATTCTCTCTTTTTCTCTTATTCTTATGTTCTCTCTCTGTCTCCCTCTCATTTTCTCTTATATTCTCTGCCTCCCTTTTATTCTCTCTGTGGGACGCCATTGAAGTTGACATTCCATGATAAGGGTCCAAGGACACTTCCGTGAGGTCCGCTGCCTCTCGCCGGACGTTCCCTGGAGGACTGGCCTTCAAGGGCAACTTAGAGATTCCTTCCTTGGAGGCAGTCCTTTATTCGTTCTGATTATTGGCGGAAACACTTGCGAAATCTGCCTTTGATTCGAAAAGCGTTAGAAAAGATCAGACACGCAGCGTTAGGTGATAATAATGATGAGAATGAGTTCCAGTTACGACACTATAACGGGGTAAGTGAGAGTGATTGAGTAAATGAGTAAGAGAGGGACTAAATGGGTAAGTGAGAAAGAGAGGGAGAGAGTAAGCGAGTGAGATACAGAGAGAGTGAGTGATAGAGAAATTGGATAATTGAGAGAGAGGGAACACGAGAGAAGGAGATAAATGAAATAGGAAGAGAACAATTGGAGAAAAAGAGATCGTCATGATAATCAGATTAGAAATTGTATCAGCAGTAATATCGATTACTTCATAATAGCTATAAACTTCAGGTGTAAACACAAAGTATTAAGAACCAATAAATTTACATTTCTTTTAGTAATGAGGAAGAAGTCTCCATCTTTTGGCAAAGTTATTACGCAAAATATTTTTTGTGAGAGTGATATGAGCGCTTAAGACTAAAACTAAAAGATATCAAGGAATGAATTTAGGGGGAAGGCAGCAAAAATATGCGGATAATCTTTGTATGAAAAGACACTAGCGACGAAATAATGGTGATAATAGGGCTAGCAAGAGAGGGGGAGCGGAATCTGTTTATCAGCCACCCCGAGTTGCCAACAGGTACACCTTACACAGACACACTATCTCTCTCTTCTATTGGCTCTCTCATTCTCTCTTCTATTCTCTCTCTCACACACAATCTCTCTTGTATTCTCTCTCTTTTTCTTTTATGTTCTCTCTCTTTCTCCCTCTCTCATTTTCTCTTATATTCTCTGCCTTCCTTTTATTCTCTCTGTGGGATGCCATTCAAGTTGACATTCCATGACAAGGGTCCAAGGACACTTCCGTGAGGTCCGCTGCCTCTCGCCGGACGTTCCCTGGAGGACTGGCCTTCAAGGGCGACTTGGAGAACCTTTCCGTGGAGGCAGCGCTCTATTCGTCCTAATTGCTGGCGGAAACACTTGCAAAATCACTTGGAAAATGTATTTCGTGTAAAAGAAGAATCGCTCAAGAATAAAACTAAATAAATCAGCAAAGGACGCATTTGAGGGAAGGTAGCAAAAATATCTATAAAGTTCTCTTTACAGGAAGAGACGATTTGGACGATTTCACTACATAAATGCAGAGTTTGGCTCCTGTGCTTCATTTAGATTCTTTCCTGCGAATCACTGGTTACAAAAGAATGGTGTTAATAGGGAAAGCGAGAGACAATGGGAGGAATACGAGGAGCCCTGGGCTCATATGAGAGGCTGTAGGAGGCAGGGGGATATAGAGCGAATAGAGAGAAAGAAGAAAGTTATTAGAGAGACAGAAAGGGTGGGGGAAATGGGTGGAGGAGGAAAGAGGGGGAAGCAGAATGTGAGAGATAGACTTTATCTTTTATCAGCCAACCTGAGTTGATAACAGGTACACCTTACACACACAAAGACACACTCATACAAACATTAAATTACACACACATGCATACATATATAGACATACCCAAAAAAGAACCACAGAAACGGACGCAGACTGACACACACACACAGACAGTCGCCTCTGTTTCTGACTGAGGCGATGGCTTCCAGACAAATTTAGCCAAAGGCAGGAAGGTTTAAGAAAATAAGTCACGTAAGACATAAACTGTGTTTGTAAACATGCAAATGCAAATTTTTGGAAATCAATACATAACGGCATCCGGTTGCCACGGCAATAAATTCTTCTCGCGAGCCAAGCCAAAGTATCACCGCTTATCTAACGCTTGTTTTCCGACGCCTGAGGTGTGACACATCGGTGTTGACCTAAACAGTAGCGTCGTTTGGATGGTCCTTTCCTCTGTGTTGTTTGTCCATCAGCGTTGTCCTGCGTATCTACAGCACTGCTTTATCTCGGCTGATATCAAGGGAGAGGGTGCGGAGGGATGCAAAGCCAGAGGGAGAAAGGGAAAGAGACAAGGGGATTGTAAAGGAGAGAGAGAGAGATGGCAGGGAAGAGGGGAGATGGGAGGGAGGGGTAGGGGGAAAGAGAGAGTAAAAGAAGAAGAGGGAATTCGTGAGAGAGATTTTGTCTCCATATCAACCGCCGTCCCAGGTAGACAGTAGGTACACCTTTCACTCACACACTTATTCTCAAATTTGACACCTTGGAGGACCCCCTTTAATAATTTTTCTTATTCCAAGGGACTCCTTATTTAGTATATATATATCCTTTTTAAAGAACAGTGCAAAGAGAACAGTTGGGCCGGGGCTCGTGACACGCCTGCCCCTCGCACGGGGCTGCGTCCCCTCCTCCCCAAGCCCTGAGTCGCCGACTCGCGGAGTACGATTGGAGGCCGCGACCGCCCGGGAATAGAGTTTTCTTCCTTTTTCTCTCAATTCTGTGCATATGACTTGTTCCTATTACTATTACAGTGTACTGACTGACACGCCCGAGTATCTTGGTGTCTGGAAAATGACGTTATTGAATAGTAATTAAGATCACCATCCTTTTGTAAAAGCACATAATTATTTTACGGTTTATCACGGATCCCCAGGTGAAGGTCGGCGGAACCTTGTTTGGAAATCACTGCCACACACACAGACATACTATTGAAGACACAGAAAAGCAACGAAATATAAACATGCTCACACTAAGGCAAAGAAAGAGGCAGAAAACACATAAACACACTCAAACACGCACATATATAAGCGTATACATATAGATATAAATGCATACACTCATACACATAAACTCAAGAAACAGACATACACAATAACATAAACCTAGGTTTGAATTCTGTCACGAGTGAGGTGTGATTTGAATGTGAAGTGATGTTTAAATTCTGACTGGGCCTGAGAGATTTTATGAACAATAGAGATAGTGTGAGAGAATCAAAGAGAGAGTAACTGAGTGAATGAGAGACAGACAGAGAGAGAGAAATTGAGTGGGCAAGCGATATATACTGAGTGAGAGACAGAGAGAAAGATCGAGTAGGAGACAGAAAGAGTGTGTAATTGAGAGAGAAAGAGTGAATAAGAGCATAAATCATTGCGGGAGTGAGAGAGTAGTTAATTGAGCGAGAAAGTATTGAGTAAGAGACAGAGTAATAGACTGTATAAGAGGCAGAGAGTAGCCGAGTGAGTGATAGATCCACAGAGGTGCTCCGCCGGTCTCTTGTGCCATATAGGAAACAGCTGACTCGCTAACAGTACCAAGAACTAAAAGACTTAAAGAGAAACTATCCTAAGTTGAAAAGAATGAAGCTAAAATAATAGATTAATACATAAATCTAGAGACCTTCACGTTTCGTCAATGACGTCGCGAGAAACAGCCCAGGTCAGGTAAGCAGGGGGCTTTGCTAATGCGTGTTTATCGTTTAATGGATGGACATTGCAATGTTGCATGAAGGGGGATTCCTCAGCTGACCCACAGACACATACAAATATCTTTGTTTTGGGTTTGAGTGTGTCGTAAGGGTGTGAGCGCACGTGCTGCCGGGCCTGAGCGAGGCTGACTGTCCCGTTGTTTGTAGAGCGAAGGTCACCGATAAGAGGAGGCAGCGTATGGCGCGGCGTCAGCGAGCTTATTTCCAACCAGCAGCACCAACTGCCAACAACAACCGCAACCTACGCCCCAACCGCTACGATGGCTGCCTCGGACCCCAACTCCTGCCTCGTAAGTAGCCCCTGGCGTAGCTATGGGGAGCGCCGGCAACTCGGTTCAGGATCTGTGGATTCCAAGGGAGGAGGGGGAAGGGGGAGAGGGTCACGGAAAGGGGATATAGTCGGACATACCGAATGGAAAAGACTTAATAATTACACATCGTCACTAAAATCAGTATCATAAATATCGTTTAGAATTACACCTCTCTGTCGCGGTTGAATAGCGACGTGTCATCTTCCCCAGCAGAGTTATGTTATCTGTGGACTCTATTACCGTAGTTCAGACTCCGTGACGGGCCTGGGGATAGAATTCCATCTGCAAGAGTTGCCTGTCTAATCAAGGTGGCCGGGCTGTGACGGCGTGGGCTCGTTCGGGAGGGTTGGCCAGTCACTGTCTGTATCTCTCACTATAACCTCCTCTTTCTGTCACTTCCATACTCTCTCTCGTAGTTCTTCTCTAACCTTTTCCCATTCTTTGTCATTCACTCTTATATTTTTTCCCTTTCATTCTCTATAATATCCTCTCTCTCTCCCTCTCTTTCATTCCCATTTATATTCTCTCCCTCTCATTCTCTCTCTTATAACTCTTTCCCTCTCTCTCTTCTAT